TTAATAATAGCGGAATTCTCTCCTAATTAATTCAGTCGGTGCATCTGTGCCTCTTGACACAGGTTAATTCAGTTCAAGACTCATCCTATCTATAACATCCTATCTTTGTGAAGCGAGATTTTCTGCGATTACAGACACCAAAACAAAGCTACGGAGCAGACTGAACATCAGGGGCACACTTCGTCTGTCATTTTCTCCAATTACGCCTAGATGGGACCGGCTTGTTGTTTTATTTTTATGCTGTTTGTATGTGATTTTATGCCAGTATTTTTACTTGATCGTATCCACCACCCCCCTCCCCCCCTCCCCCATATAGCAGTCCGTGGTGCAAAAAAGGTTGGGGACCCCTGATTTAACAGACGATTCATCAATTCTGGCTGATTCCAAAATGTTTATCTGTCATTTTCTTTATAAAAATGGAGGAAACAACCCAAAAAGCACATCAATAAAGACAAATAATATAGATAAGCTACTGGGAACAGAAAATGATTCAGTTAGAAGATCTCTACATCAACTATGGCCGTTTACAAAATAATAAACTAACTCCATTGAGAACACACCAGCTCCACAGGCTGTTACTTTGCTTTATCTTTTACCTACATCTGACTGTTGAGTGATAAGGCTGTAATGTTTCCAAAGCCAGCCTGTTGGAGCCATGAGCACAAGCAGCGTTGATGCAGGTCAAATAGGATGCGTTTGTGTGTGCAGGTGTGACCCCGGACCAACCGACTGGCATGGAGGTGCCAAGCTCCACACCACTGCGCAAATGTTTCTGCTCAGACAGGAGACGAGATGGCGGCCACATGTTTTTCTTGCAGACATGCCATCCAAGTGCTACACGCTCTCTGAAGAGGAGCCTCCACCTTAGCCAAACCTTCGGCAGACGCTGCATGTAACAAAAAATAAATCACTTGAGACAAAACACTGACTTTCACCACGGCTGAACATTTATTGGATCCCCTCCAGGTTTTCTCAGGAGTTAGCTTGTTTAAACAAAGAAAAAAAGATAAATCAGGATGAGCCCATGTTGCTTTGACACTCAGCAGACTTTAGCTTGTTTACTCAGCAGCCACCTTAGCTTCAGTTGATAAACACGGACGATAAGCAGCCTTCAGTCTTCCTCAACATTAATATTAGCTTTATCTCAGAGGTTCTCCGAAAATTACTTTGTTAAGAGGATTGGGACAATCAGGAATAAATGCATTTACTTAACAGGTTTCAAACTGATAGCGGTTTATCGCAGAAGCCGAGATGGCGATATGTTTAACTTTAACTCCTGTTACATTTATTATTGATATTTTGTCACGCTATAAACCCAAATATTTATACATTTTGTCATAATTTAATCCGACAGAGGATGAAGAATGCGACTAAGGCTGACAGTATACAACCCTCACAGTAAAACATGGCGATTGGCATGCTTTTCTTCATAACTTATGGAAGATGATCAAAAATAGATTAAACGACATATTTCAATCTCTATACCAACCTTTTAGAGGCTCCTCAGGACTTGAGATTACTTCACATTTTGGATAAAGAACACAGGTGATTTGAAAGGGGTGACATTTTCCGACTGCTCAGTAAATGCAAATATATTCAAGAATGGACAATTTGATTAGTCGGAGTGCATAAACATAATTTTTTTCAGTGTAAATAATTAAGAGGGAAAGTATTTTTGTTGAAATGGGTTTGTAAGGCGTTTTTGTGGTTTTTCTTTGTTTTTTCTGTAAACGCATGACAGTGTTTGATTAGCCTTTTTGCTCACTGTATATAGTTGCACCTATTCCTTTAAATTGAATTTTTCTAAAAGATTAAAAAAAGGCAGCCATTTATTTTAAGAAAGTTGAACAGAGGGGGTAGATTCAGGTTTCAGCTCTCAAAAACCTACAAAGCTGCAATAAAGGTGATTCCTCCCCACAAAACAAAACATCTCGCCTGGGCAGCCGAGCCAACAACTGCCCCTAATGCCCCCCTTTCAGAGGCATAACCCGTTATTGGGTATTGCAAGCTAACAAAGAACCCAAAAACGACTCAAATTTTCTAAGGGGCGACCCCGTTCTTTTAGTTAAATTTGCACTTTTTCTAAGCCAAAATAAGTTTTTGGGCTACTATATTTAACGCTTCAAATTTAACACCAATTCTGACATTTTTAATTGAAAAAGCTTGGTGGATGGGAAGCGAAACGTCTTCAAACTTGGAATCCAAGTCCAGTGGATTGTTTTTTAAAACTTTTTTGGAATGACTTCAAGGTGTAGATTCAGTTCAAAGCACACAGAGTCCCAATGGATATGTTGACATTAAATTAAGTAAAGCTTGGGTTACATCTAAATGAGAATCATTTTAAGGTCTTTTATAGTAAAAAGTGGATAAAAATTTATGCTTCAAGAATTGCAACTTAAGTTTGTGGTTCTAACTTGACAACAGTGCCTGTAAGGATGCAGAAATTTTCTGCAGTTAGAGCGGAGAGGAATAGAATGAAATGCAATATAGATTTTGTTTTCGTTATCAAGATGAAAGCAAAACAAGAGTATATCAGATGCCGGATTTGCATGATAAATCTGGCTGACAAAATTCCACTTGCAGAAACAAAACATACCGCAGCAGACCGGCTGCGAGTCGTTTCTGCCAGATCGGGGACAATTATAGGCAAGCGTGGGTACACAGAGAATACTGTAAATAAGAAAGACTTACATCAGTTGCTAGGGAACGCCATTGGACCATACAATCCTAACCCTGCTTGAAGAGGAGGTGGTAAGGAGACAGACAGGTCCTGGCACAATAAGCAACGAATGGTGCAGAGATACAAAAGGCATCAACATACTTCTCTTCGCATAAACGATAGGAGTTTAATTTGTGCAGACATAAAGCGTATGTGTTTATCTTTTTCTTTACCACTTTAGGCTATCAACTATTTATTCATAAAATATAAATACTTAATAAAACTAAATTAAACATTTCACAAGCATTCATATGAAATCATAACAATCTTGTTTGGTTTTTTTACAGAGAGAAGCGAGTTGCATCTAAATTTATCTCTATAGAAATACATTCTAAAATGAAAAAGCATTAAAAATGAATAGTATTTTCATTCTTAACATGTTTTTTTATCTAAAAGGTTGCATTTGAAGCATTAAATGATTATACAACTGTAAAAAAATAAAATAAACAGCGGAAAAGGGTTCAAATTTAAGCAGGTCAAAGTAATAGACCTGTGTGGTGTAAAAACAGGCTGTTGTATCTCTGACCTTTACACAGGGATCAGAAGTTAGGATTTAGACCAGATTACTTTGAAGATATACTTGATATAATGCATTTTTTTTTTGTATGCAGAAATTGCTTCTAAAACTTGCATGGCTCGACAGGCTAAGACTTTTCAGCATAAAAAAGACTGCTATTATGCTGCAATCATGTTTCTGACCTTGTTGTTGCATCCAAAAACATTCAACCTGGAAAATTAAAGTTTATTTTGACAGACCTTAGCCTGTAGTATTAATTAAATATGCATATTGTTGTTACATAATGACTTACATATGTTTAGGTGAAATGTTTAATATATATTGTGCAATGAAGTAGTGGCAAAGTAACATTTTCACCATTACATCAGTCTAAAAGCATTTAGAATGCTGAGGTCAGTGATCCTTTATAGGTACAGACAGAATAGGCTTAGGGAAGTAAGAGATTAAGTGGCATTGTTTGGTCATTGCTTTAACATTCAGAGTTTTAAAGAAATATAAGGATTCCAACTATATTTGAGGAGGTTTTTATTTTTATTATTTTTTTTTTAGACATTATTGTGAACCTTAGGGACCAAGTAGAACAGAAACGTACATTTTCCACGTGCAGACCAGGTTTTGTTACAGCAACATTTTCCAAGTAGGAAAATATAAAACTAATAGAAGGAATAATGAAAGACACCTTCAGATTTTAGCAGTTGTAGTTAGGGCCAAATGTTGCTCTGTCACCAAAAGCAGCATTTGGACAAATAATACAGTAAAGTCAATCAATAATAAGCAGAGAATCTGACGTTGCTTAAAGAAAAGGCAATTCATCCCAGGAAGAGAGCCAGCATTGTAGAGTAAAGACTTTATTGTGTGTGTCCAACATAAGCAACAGTTCAACACAGCAAAGGCAAGAAGTGGAAAACCTTTTATAACAAGTTTTATTTTATTCCTGACATTTTCGATCGCTTTCAAATCCTGTTAAGGACTAAAGAAGGAAGGAATCACAACAGTTAGGGTTTTATCACGTTAAACATGCTCAAATTATGGAGACTTTATATAATAATGGGCAATAAGTTGATGCTTTAAGCAGAATAAACAGGCTTTGTAAAGATCAGAACTACATAAGCAAGTTGATTTTCTATGTCCTAAAAATTAGAAAGAGGAACGGATTGTTTCACATAGGAATAAATGTTCTCTCTAGGATTAAAAAAAAAGGTAAACCTACAAAGTGCACAAGTTTTCTTGTTTCTGTTGTACAGTGTTAATAATAGGCAGTCACGTTTCATTTCCCAATGTGCAATTACATATTTATTACACCGTAATGTATTCAAGTTAACAAGGAAGCATGCAAACATCACTTTCAGGTAGAGATTCACTGATCTAGCTCTTCTTGGCAAATATCTACTTGCAGTTTTCTTTGAGGTCCAACCTTCCCATTACAAAGTCTTTCCTGATTGGACTCTCAGGTAAACAAAATGTGCTGTCTGGTCTTGTGACAGTCTTTAGAATGTAAATATTGAGACAGTTTTAATCCATTTTACAGATGGGGAAGAAAAAAGATCCCATTTCTCAGTTTCTGATTGGAGCATCTCTGTTTTCAGGCATTGGTTTAGCGAATGTCCACTTGTAAAAATAGACGTTCTACGTCTATATATTGGGCTATGAACATGTTTCTCACCCATTTTTCATGTTCAAATTCATGTGCAGTGATAATTTTTTTTGTTTAGAAATCAACACTTTTTAAAACCTTAAATCAGCCAGACATAAAATAATCCGTTATTCTTTTCAACAAAGAATCATAGAAAACAATTTAACACTGTTTCTGTCACAATGATAAAATACCAATAAATAAACAGCTTTTAGTGTTGGGTTAATATTAGGTATCATCCCATGTAAACTTCTAGGAATTTATTTAATTCCACTCAAAAATGTGCCACAAAGGCATGTTTTACCTATAAACTGCTCACAGTTTGGATAAGAAAGGAATTCCCTCGTACATGTCGGCTTTCAGCTTGCCCCACTCCGCCAGCCTCTGGATGGCGCCCTTCTCCTGGCCCAGCACACTGGCCGCCTTCTTAAGTTTGGCCTCGTTGCGCTCGAGGTAGCGCTCCCCTTCCCCTTTGAGGAGGTTCAGCTTCTCCTGGCGGCTTTCGTTTAATGGCACGTCCTCGCTCATGTAGGGGTTGAAACGGAAGTAGGTATCTGGCGGCAGGAGGGCGTCCAGCATAGTGTGCACCTCTGAAATGAGACATTCATAGTATAACTATACCAAAATCCACTCTAGATACAGCCTTTCACCTATAGAACTAAATCCTATACTAATTCTAGAATTTTTTTTTTTGTATTTTCTAAGCCAACGCAAAGTTAACATTATTGTACTAGATTCATTTGAGAGAGCACTAAGCTAAACATATTAACATTTTTAGTCACCTGACAGGCAGTGTGCAGCAGCAGGTTGGGGAGAAGCTATACTTTAGCTGGAATACCTCCCATCCTTCAGCAGTGATCATAGCCCCATTTACACTACCCTTTTAAAACCGTGCGGAGATCGGTCCGAGCACGGTAACCATTATAAATCTTTGGGGTAAAAGGTGCGCAAAACTGAACCGGACCGTGCCAGACACAACTGAATCCCGCACTAACATGGTACTAGTTCATCAGTAGGGCTCGGCGTGGGTAAGTTCTGGCATGGTTCTCAGATAACATAAGCAGACTGCATTATCTCCTTACAGTCAGTCTCCGTAATCAGGAACTTTCAGACATTCAGAACTTTCGTAAAAATACTAGCTTCCCAACCGTGCCACACGATTTCCAGTGACAATTCTGCTTAACAGTGTCATGATCCTCAATGTCTGTCGTTGTTTCCTGCGTCTGTCAGCCCTGATTAGACTATCGTTTGTCGTATTCACTTCCCAAAAGCCGTCTGTCAAGTAAATTCACCAAAGGCTGCCTTCTTCGCCTGATTCTCCACCAACAACAAAATATCACAATGAAAACAAAACATAACTTTCTGAATGTTACGGGAGCCGCGCTGTTGCTGGTTTACCTCTAGAGAGCAGTAGTACTGTAGATTGCCACTAGGGGGCAAGGAACCGTGCTAGCGTGGTGTGTAAATGGTCGTAAGGAACATAGTTCAGCTTGGTTAACTGATCCAAGCTCTGCATTGATCGGTTTACAGAGGGTAGGGTATATGGGGCTATAGATTCCAATATAAGATGTTAGATACTGATTATACCTTCCGTATCTGTGGCACTGCTGATGACGTGAGCCAGCTTAGTCTTCAAGCTGGTGTAGCTCGTGCTGTTCTTGCCCACGGTCTCATACCGCCCCGTTCCCAGAGACAACACGCACTGCAGGGGTGTATTGGGCCACAGGCACTTGCACTCGTGAATGGCCAAAGCGGTTGGGTTGTTGATGAGAAGTCCTCCGTCCTTAAGAGGCAGAATAGAGATTAAAGTGAAGAATGGATGTTTGGTTTAAAAACAGCAGTTGAGGCAGATTTCTGAGGACAAACGAGGTGAAGCGGGCACGCCGTCACGGAGCGAGACACTGCTTTGGGTCGGAGATGTGCAACTCTGACGAAAATCAGCTCAACCAGAAGTAAACAAGCTCCCTAAAGCTTGTCAGAAATGACTTAATCACACAGCTGTGTTACTCTGAATTCAACTCGACTCATAAATTGAATTTCTTCCCCGCGACTGCTTGACTGCTTGGAGTGAAACAAAAATGAGGACTCCAAATAAAAGGCTGGACAGATTTAGCACTTTGGCCTTATCCAAGTCTTTCCCCAAATTCATGCCAGGAACTTATTTCCCAGAGACCCGACACACTTCTGATTGAAATCAGATAGAGACTACAGCTGTGAGGACTTATCTTCCTCTGCCCAGCAGGAAAAAAAAAACAGCCTCCATGCCTTTAAAGGTGAAGTAGGGGAGGTTTGTGACTTTTAACACACTAGGTCGTGATCTCAGTCTGCAGGAACTTAAAAACACTGTGATCCTGTGGTGCAATGAGACCCATAGTCGGCTCATTTATCCAATTTTTAATCGTTAATCACTCTGTGACAATAACACTATAACAAACACTTATCCAGTGTTCGTGACAAACGATTGGATAATGGAAAAACAGACACATGTACACACAGATGGATATAAGGATGACAAATAGCCCAGCCAGCTTCGTCCCAGCTAAACCTTTATTTTTCCTTTCTTTATGTAAAGAAAAATTTTGACTTTTACAGCAAAACCTGCCATTTTTAGAAGACTTCTATCAACTACTGTATCTGATGCTGTATTAGTCATTGCATTTGTTTTTTTTAGTGTGTCCATGTGGGTATTTTGGGTGTTTAGATTTCCTGCGGTGCCGTAAATCTCCTGAATAATAACTCTGCTAGGTGCTGAAAGGTAAATGTAAGCTTAACCTGAACAATAGCACAAGCACAACTTATCCATCTCAGACTTTTCATGCTAGTTGTCGTCCGGGAGCAACGGCAGCCATGTGCAAACAGGAAACAAGATAAAAAGTTGTTATACTAAGAATGAGGTGCAGGGTATGGGTTCTTCCTGAAAATGTTTAAGGAAAAAAAAACAAGAGATTAGGATCATTTATCGACCCGAAAATAATCAGGAGGCGCAGCTATAACAGCATTTGCTTTAGGAAACAGCCGAAAGAGGCGATGGGGACCAAACTAATTTAGCTTAAGTAGGTTATCAAAAAAGAAGCTAAGCCTGCAGCCTAATTGCTCTCTAAAAGGAGCAGCTAAAGATATCTGGCCTAATAATCAAACTCCATAGAATGATACCATTTGGCTTGGGCAGCTCCCTGAAGGCATAAACACACTTTGACTAGGAAGGAAGAAAAGACATACATGGTACCCCGAAAATTAATTATTTTGTTAAAACCACAGACTTTGTTTCTTCATTGGGATTATAAGTGAATGCATTCCTGTTCACTCTCCCTTTAAAGCACTACCAAAATAACTACAGTTAACTTGTTGAATCTTATTCTAACATGTGAAACCCTCCGATAAAAAAAAAAAAAAAGATAATGGCACTCACAATACTGACTATACTACTGCTTAAAACATGGTAGTAGCAGCATCATGCTGTGGGCAGGTTTTTCTTCTGCAGAAGCAGGGAGGCAGGTTCAAGAAAAGATGGATGGGGCTCTGGGTACTACATAGTAATAAGACATTTATTACTCACATTTGTCTGCAGAAGACTAATACACAGAAGGCCTGGTTTACATGGAATATGCTTGCAAAGGTTGAATGTTTTTTATCTCTTTTTTTTTCTTTTTTCAGAAAGAAACCTAAAATTTTGTATAGTTAATAAAATAAATCTATATCTTAGAAAATCTGACGTCTCTAGATAAGTGGTTTCATCCATTCGTGAATGGATGCTGCTTGTCAAAGCTGTTTATCCCTTTCACTAATGCATACTTTCCTATCGCGTTTTGTATTAATGTTCTTGGATAAAACATTCTGAACGACATGCTTCTTTAGCATGTGGTTTAAAGGGAGTCAATGACTGTCTTCTGGACATCTGTACAGTCAGCAGTCTTTCCCATAATGGCGTAACCCACTGATCCAGACAATGAGATCATTTAGGGGAATAGGTAAACTAGTTTTCCATTTAGGGCGTGATGACTTGAGTTTCACCCTTTTATGTTTGCCAATTATCAAATTTGCAAGGAAACTACGTTATAATTTCAATTATCTATAAAGCATTATCATTTAAATTACAAGAAATTGTGACCAAAAATGTTTATTAAAAAATATAGGACTTTCACTTCCTGAAATAATTAGGAATATTTTTCAGATGTACCTTTAAACATTGATCTTCTACTTGGTGTTGTTGCAGGTTTGAGTCCAGATAAAAGTTAGCTAATCTTTATAAAATAGAACCAGAATATCTTTATGTATAAAAAAAGATAAAAATAAATAAAAATCATATTTTTTCAAAGGTTTGGGCCATTTATTATTTCCTTAGAGCTGGACTAAACCTTGTCGACCTGTCTACCAGCTCCGTGCTGTACCTGATGAAGGTCTTTTCCCAGAACAAATTCCTGAAAGTATCCGGGGGCGGCAGACGAGGCCCGGATGGCCTGCCACATCTTGTGTTTGCAGTCTCCAAGGTAGTGTGACCTTACACCAGGCATGAGTCTGTAGTTCCTGAACACGTAGGCCTTCAGTGGCAACCCTCTGTTGACTATGGTGCTCACTGCTGCCACCTTGTGGACAAACACAAAAAGTAAAAGAAAAATTATCATACTAAGATCACAGGAATTATAGACGTATATCAGTTGATGACAATCAGTTATAAATACTAAATCAATGAAAAAATTAGAACCATAGAAAAAAAAATACTTACTTTCGGGCAGCATGGGTCCCTCGAACTCTCAATCATACGTCCCTCACCCATACGTTCTCTAAAAGAAGAAAAATAAAATCACAAATAAGAAATAGGTATATAAACTTTCCCTCCAATTAAGAATAATCAATTAACTGTTAGGAAACTAAAACATAAGACTAACTTGAGGATGCCTTCCCACATTTCGCTGTCGTAGAAAGCATGGCTCCAGCCCATCTTCATGGTTCCAACAATGACGTTCTGTTTGAAGATGTCTGTACCCAGTTTCCTGTACATATCCTCGCACTCTTCCAAGGGGATCTGGAAAATCCCCAGCATGAAGGCCAAAATGGCGCCTTTTCCAAAAAGAACAATAAGAACAATAAGAATGTTAGAGCACACAGGATGACAACATCTGGTCGTTCTTGATTGGATGTTGGATTGATGCGTCGCATAAATGGGAGCAGCTTACCTGTACTGACTCCGCAGATGTAGTCGAAGAGCTGATGGATTCGTTTTCCAGTCAGTTCTTCCAGTTTATGAAGAGTCTGCAGGGCCAGCAGTCCTCTGTAACGCAAATGCAAACCTTAGGGCCCTGTATCGCCTTGCCGATATAGCCAGCATATGCCTGACATCCCAGAATCTTCTAAAACTCTGACATACGCTTAACTTTCTATGTATTTTTTCAATTTTGGGCGCATACTTAGAGTATTCATAATGAGTCGAGAGTTTCTGTCCAACGACGGCCTAACTTATGCATTACACATGGCAGGGTAATGCCCATTAATTCGGGACTTACTGTATGTCATGGAGTGCCAGCGTGTTTCAGCATGTTCATAACTTATACAGAATTTCCCCGTAACTTATCCAACATATGCCGGCGTTTTTGCAAAATTTATCGTACGTCAGGCATACGCTCACTAAATCTGCAAGGTGTGACAGGGGCTTTACGTCTCAAAAGATGAACAAACAATATATATTTTAGCCAATATAGGAGAGCAACAGCCGTTTGGCCCTTTAATAAAAATTATCAACTATTACAAAGAAATAAGCGTTTTTTTGTGCCAACATCCAATTAGGAATACATCGTCAGTCATATTTATAAATAAATGCTTCTTTACCAATAAGGTGGCACTTATTCTTCTTTTACAAGCTAGGAATTGCACAGGAGGCTAATATGTCCATAGAAGAAGATTCATTTTGTGTATTGAACACTTAAAAAATAATGCAACCGCTTTTGGCTTTTACTTAACTTATTTAGTTAATTTAACACAATTGTTACACAACACCTAACATGAAACTATTGTGTTAAAGTAACTAAATATGATTAAGTAAAAACCAAAAATGCTGCATTTCCTTCAGTGAATGAGCTACATATTTACCACAAATTTAAATGCTCAGACGATGTTGCTTTTTATTTTTAAGCCACTGCCCTTTTTTTATATTTAAATGTCATTAATTTCAAATACTTCCTTTGTACAATTATGTACTTTTAACACTATTTCACAACAGCCATAACCATAAATGTTAAAATCATCACCAAGTTACAGTTAGTTCAGGGTTTATACAGGAAGGAGGAACTCTAATTTTACTTTCTAATGCTGTTTGAATGCTCTTAGAAATAATTTTAATGCCATCAATAAGGACTCCATTTTTCTCACACACACATTTATATATATATATATATATATATATATAAACACGGCCAAATCCTTCATAATCTTTACCATCGACAGGCTGCAGCCATGTCCCGAATTTCTCGTTTTCCACCACTTATGTTAAAATTTGCATTTTCCCATTCTCTATCTTTTTCTGTGCTTCAAGCTTTTTTTTCGAACAAACGGCTTTAGGATCAACCAGGAGCAGTTCCACGCAAACACGTGGAACCAGTTAAATCTGATATAGCTGACAAAACTTTTTTTTTATTTTTATAAAGCATTTTAAATGCCATGATAACCACATTTAATGAATTTTAATGCCAATTAAGGCCTTAATTTGAAAAATAATAATTTAATGACTTTTAATTATTTTTAATGACCCGCAGAAACCCTGTAGTTTTAAAATGTAAGAATTCCAGGCTATCTTTAGAGGTTCTGCACCACCAGGAATTCAAAATCAACCATGAAAGCATTTTCCTAATTTACTGAAGTAAGAATTGGGTTGTTCTCAATTTTACACAGTGTTATTATGCAGCTGCATTAAAAAAATTATATTATTCTAAATAATTTTCCATGTATATTGCTTAGAATTAGTAGGTACTATTTCAGTTTGGATTTTAAGAAAGGTGTTGGAAAGAAGATGGTTAGGAAAGTGAGAATCTGGGTAAAAAGAAATTGTTAACCTTGTGCCTCCTCCATCTATGGCTAGCACCCTAATTCCTCTGCCTTTGACTGGATCTGTGTAGCCAACCAGCGCCAGAGCTTCTCTAACAGCCGCCTGAAGGGGAAGATCCCTGGCCTGACGGAGCCGCAGCAGACAGGGCAGCAAGTTCTCCTAAAAGACACAACAATTAGAGAGCATAAGAGGAAAATGCCTTTAACGCCAACAGCCATCTGTTTGTAAAGCAAACTGCAGGAAATAAATTAAAAAAAGAAAGGTTTTAGTGAAGCCTTACCTGAACTGCCACTCCTCGGGTCTCTGGAAACTCCAGGAGGTGAAAGCTGAGCTCCCCGACTCGAGTGGTGAGGAGTTCCACGTCAGACACCCTCTGCAGACCCTTTACCAGAGCTCTGGTCCTGTTGTCTACGCTCACTCTGGCGATTATCTAAATGAAACATTATCAACAAAGTAAAAAATGTTTTAAACAGATAAGAATAAACGACCAAAGGTTTATGCTGAAACTACTAGTTAAAGGTATAGAAGAATATGTTCTTTTTCAGGGTGGATCACCAAAATAAATGGGCCGCCTACTTGTCAATCATTCTATGTTGACTACGTGCTCGTCCCCATTTTCACGTGGTGAGTCTGACATAGTGGAAAAATTGCAAATCTTCTTTTTGAACGTAAGCTTGTATGAGCAATGCAAATAACTATTAAACAGAGCGTGCAGGAGGAGAAATGGGCTCGTGCACGCTCTCGCACGCGCTAAATAGGCATTCGGCAGCGGATAGAGGGTTGTGGATGTGCTTTTTTTTTTTTTTTTTAAGTGGAGAGGACAGGTCTTTGAAAAAATTCTAGAAAATCCTCCAATATCCCTTTAGCTTTAAAATATAACTCCTGAAAAATAAATTAAGAACTTACAAAGTCAGCTATTTCATTTTCATTTTTATTTTCTTTAATATTGAAGTTTTTAAATAGCTTTTGCATATTTAAAGAATCATAATGCTGTTACTGAATGCCACCCTCAGCATATTATTCCTACTGTTAAACATGGAAGATAGCTAAACGGGATGAATTAGATCGAACTATTATTCATCTGTTAGTATGACCCAATTGAAGTAAAGATTTAAATCCTACTTAAATAAAGAAAATTGGAATATCTTCATTGATTACGTGGTACATAACAGGCTTTAACATTAAGTTCCCACCTTTTCTCTTTGACTTAGAAGCTGCTGTTTTGCCTTCTCGGCTTTGTCTTCTTCACCATCTGTCTTCTCCACTCCTTTGTCTACCACGTGTTCAGCCAAACCGTCTGTTGAAGACTTCTCTTTTTCCACCGCCAGCTTTTTCTGGTCACCTCGAAGCCTTGGAACCAGGGGAACAATGTAACTTCCAACGAAGGCCTGGACGCTGGGCCCGGGGTAGGACAGGTAGTGGGTGAAGCCTTTTTTAGGGGTGGTACTCGTATCAGGGACAGATTGGGCTGTGTTTTCAGTGGCTGGGATCACAGAGGATGGGATCTCTGCTGACGGACTGGGTTTTAGTGAAAGTGGCGAAGACAGAGGGCTTTCAGGAGCAATTTTCTCTGAAACTGGAGACAAAACTGGAATGTGATCTGCTGTTCTCTGGGTGGTGACCTGAGGAAGTGGCTTAGAAACATGCTGCTGCTGTCTGTTCTCTCCATCTTCTCCTTGTGTGTTTGGGCCAAAGTAGCTGTTGATATGGTTGGACAGAGTCTTGTACGTCTCATCCATGTTTGTGGACAGAGCTGCTGGATGGAACAGCTGCATGGTTTGCTTTGCCACGGTTGTAGAAGAGTTAATTCCAGGTGCGTCTGTGGCAGAAGCTAAAGTAGAAGACGACTTTTTGGCTGCAACAAAAGGCTTTTCTCTGACTTGTTCCTTCTGCTTATCGGTTTCCTCCACTGCTCCATTTTCGCCACTCGTCTTTTCCTTCATTCTTCCAGAACCGCTGTCAGTAGAAGTCAAGGTTTCCACTTTGGGCAGAGCTTTTTCAGCATGGGCGCCGTCAGCTGCAGCGCCGCCAGGCTTGAAGCGGGAGAACCTGGAGATGAGGTCTGCGCCTCCCACTGCCTTGGTTACACTGTCGATTGTGGACCTGAGCCGCGACATGCGTCTGAGGATCCGCTGGGAACATTAGTGAAGAAGAGACTGAAGAAAAGAGGAAAGGCTAAAACGTTTGTCTGGAACGAAGAAGCATCCTGTTATCTTGCATGGCGTAGAGATGCTTTTGTTCCATCTTCAAAAGGAACTGTTATTTGGAAGTAACAACTTTCCTGCAGTCTCCACTTCCTGAAACAAAAACAGAAAGTAGCTTTAAACACTTTTGTTTTTGTGGAAGAAAACCAGGGTACCCTGAAAATAATACCTGAAGAGCATGCAAACTCATTGGAGAAATACCCCAGAGGAATTGAACCAAGGACCTTTTTATTGTAAGTCAACAGTGCTGCAAACTGCACCACTGAGCTGCTGTATTTAAGAAATTATGTTTAAATATACGTTCATCTCAATGATAAACATCATTGAAATGGAAAAGTAACTCAATGTAAAATTAAGTAAAAAAAATAGTGTATGTAAACTGTTCAATAATGCAATTAGTTAGGTTAAGGTTATTAAAAATCTAATTGTATGGAACCTTAGACATCTTATTGTTTTACACAAATAACCCAGCAGAGGACTTTGTATTGGATTCTTTGTCATTCTACATTAGGGTTTAATTTTGTAATAACAGCCTTTGGCCACTAGGTGGCTCTCTTCGATTTTCCCTTGCTTTAGTAACCATATGAACCGCCTTAACAACCAAAACAAGATGGAGCGAAATTCATGTGAAATTAACGAAAAAGCAGAGTTCTCCGTACTCATTAAGGCCTTACAGGAGGAGAGACTTCGCGACAACAAGGAGGAAGTTGATAATGCTTCTCTTTTTACGTCGGACAACATTGAATGGGCCACATGCAAAGACTTTAATATCGAAGTGGGAAAGCAGCAGATCGAGGCGTACATCAAGACCTGGGAGATTCGGTCCTGTTGGATCTACAGCATAGAGTTTTTCCGCACAGGACAAGAGGATGACTTTACAATCTACCTCTACGAAGTCATCTTCATGGCACCGACGAGCAGAAAACCGATCTCGGAAAGAGTCAGCGTTTACTTCGCGGCTGAAATATCGAAAGTGGAGGCCGAAACTCGACCGGTGAAGGTTCGATTCATACTGGAGTCCTGCAGGGTTATACATACTCCAGGGAGGAACAGGTTCAACGAGAAGTGGCTGACGGACATCACCGAAACTAAAGCTTTATGGCAAAAAATGATGGACTTCTGACTCAGAGACTTGATGTTATATAACAGCCATTGTATGGACTTTGTCCTTCTTTCTTCAATCTGAGCAGAAACAAATATAATCCCATTAAAATATAAAGCTATGTTTGAGTAAAGTGTCATGACAGATTGACGCCTGAGAGATAACTTCGGAGATGAAAAGAATAAGGATATGTTTACTCGGTCATTCAAACCATCGTAATGAATAACTTTGTGTAACTGCTCTAAAATATATTAGTCAAATGATATAAACAATCTATCTTCTTACCCGATTAAAGAAAAAATTGGTTGCAGGAGTATTTCATTGATTGTAAAGATGGTAGATTTTGCTCCTACCGATGCTAGCTGTGAAATGGTAAACAGGAAATGGAACCCTTCTTCTTCTGCTTGTGTTTTTTATTGGCGGATGGTAACCAACTTAAGGTACATTTACCGCCACATACCAGACTGGAGTGTGGTTATCAATGATGTCAGAGGAAAGAAAATTTTTTATTTTATTTTATTTATTTTCAAAACAATTTTATTTGTTTCTGCAAATAACATTACAGAGCAACCATATTGCACTATAGGTATTCTTAACAACCATTTTTTACAAACGTTTTCAACAGGTGTAAATTTAGATGTTTACCAGTCAAGTAAACAGTCAAGTCCTCGTTTTGTGCAAAACAAGAAACAGTAAGGAAGAAAGACAAAAAAATAAAATAAAATAGTACATCTATATATGAAAGTTAACGCTAGGGGGAAACAGCTGTCTAAATAAGAAGATTAAAAAGGACAAAGGCTTCTCGAGTTTTGATTGCTTTCTTATTTTCTGATAATTGTATGGTGTCAATGTATTGTTTGAGTTTATGCTTAAAAGCAGTAACGCACGGTTTGGAGCCTCAGAGGAAAGTTATTAATACATATCTCAATGGTATGCACAAATCTGCATAATACAGTATCTATCAATCAACATCCATACATACTCACATATAAATTAGTATGTGTATATGCACATGCGTACACACACTTATATTCTAATTTTAAATTCGATTAAATAATACAGTAATAATACAATAATAAAGAATAAAGTCAACTGATTTCTATCAGAATTAGATTTACTTTCTAAAAGGTTTATTATTGAAAATCATATTTTTCTCTATTTAGTGTTGACTTTAAGTGCTGACGTTCCTGTGAATACTTATTACATTCTAATAATACACGTTCCACTGTTTCCATCTGATTACAGTAATTACAAGTCTCTGTTTCACGCTTCCCTTTTTTGAAAAGAGAAATATTAAGTCCAATATGACTACCTCTTCTTTCCTCCTTTCATTTGTACAACTATTACCCCCCACAGCATTTTGAATTTTATAAAAAAATCTCTACCAGTGTCATTATTATTCCATTGTTCCTACCAAACCTTACAGATTTTATTCTGAATTATAGATTTACGCTCAGTTTTGCTTAAAAGAATACTTAAGTTAATAATATCTGATTTTAAGGCCTGTTTAGCTAATATATTTACTTCTTCATTTCCTTCAATCCCTATATGAGCAGGAATCCTGACAAATTGAACAAAACATTTCTTATTATGAAGCTGAACTAATAGGTGATATATATCTAATAATAAATCTAATTTACAAGACTTGCCCGATTTGATACTTAATAATGTAGCTTGACTATCTGATGCAAGAACTTCGACAGGCATTTTAACAGCCTCACTACTGAGTCAAGATTTGGGAGTTTGTAGGAGAGTTACTGTCAGTTGGATAGAGTTTGGATATATTCTAAGAATAGATTGGTTGGAAAAACAACCAATCTAGTTGGTTAAAACTATTTTAGTTAGGGTTATCAAATAATGTAATGATCAAAATCTGAACAAGCCATTGGACACAGTAGTGTTAAGTAATATTGCTGTCTGTTTGTAAAGGTTACCAATGGCCGATGTTGGTGATGTCTGCAGTAAGACATTGTCTTTCACTTCTGAGGTCGATGGTTCAAGAACCAACTTAAACTTTTGAAAGTTGAGATTATGCTTTAGTATTTTGGCTAATGTGACTAATGTATTGGTAAAAATATAGATTGAGTAAAAACACTGCCAAATTCGATTAGCTCGTTTAGCCAAAAGATTGGTTGAACATATAACTTCCAACCCGATTAAAACCAAAAAACGTGCAAAAACTATCATGTTTGAATAAAAATGACTTTCATTTTGCTCATCATTGCCCAATTTGCACTTTCACTGTCTGTTTGACCTTATTTCATTAAAATAGAGGAAAAACTGTTTACCTTAAATGATTGTTCGCTTCTAAGACATTTTACACTTAAAAAAAACTTACAAAAGATTTTATCATACACACCAATCCCTAACAATGTCAAAGGAAAACACAAGAAAAACAATTGCAAAAAAATCACAGATTTTATTACAAACTGTAGATCTGCACTCCACCAGTAGGTGGGGACATGTTCACACGAAGCCTCATGAACTGTGGGTATTGTTGAAGCAATTTGGCCAAACGGTTCAATGCCTCATGAGGCTTCATCTCACCATCACTAGATAATCCACAGGGTCAAGAGGCAGATCTTCATCAAAGTCTTTGATGGACGGGTCAGAAATGGGTCAGGATCAGGCAATCAGAACACTATTAGTTTACGCTCACACCACAGCCTGAAGTGACCCAAATGCGTTTTTTTTTTTTGCCCACATGTGACCTGGATCTGATCTTTTTAGGCTGTCTGAACAACACAGATCTGATTTTTTCCAATGCGACCCAGGCCACTTGGCTATGTGGTCCTGAATCCAATACGAATCTGATCTTTTCAAATGCAACCTGTGTGTGAACGGCCAGGTCGCATTCATCCGACCTAAACGGCATTAGTAACCGACAAAGGTCACTATTCTGCTTCTTGCTACAAAGAAGCGGCAAGAAAAACAAACACCATGGTGGACGATTATGCGGAGAGCAGTATTTATGTTTAACCATCTTAAAAAGATTGAGGTTTTAAGGTTGGGAAAGATCGCTAGATGCGCTCCAGCACTAAATCCATGTTTACTCCCGTAAACAAGATTCACCTTGGCTTGTGACGTCATTGCGTCCTCTACTGCGCATGCGGGACACTTAAAGGTACACTATGCAACCGGTGTTGATTTTCCAGCGAGGCTCCCCCCAGAGGGCGAAAGTAAAAGTGCACTGTCGTAAATATGCACAGCTGTTCTCCTGGTTTCTCCGTCAAGCCAGGCGCGGTTGTTTTGAGCTTAGCAGACAGGCGAACGCAACGAATGACTAATGCTGCGTTCACACTGGACGCAGCTGGCGCGACAGAAGCACGAGTTTACATGCAAAGTCAATGGTTGACGCGCGTCAAGGCGCAGCAAAAGGTCCCGCGGAGCGTTTTGAGCAGCAGGCGCAGCGCGTCTGAGCAGCTGAAGCAGTGCGTCAGGCGCGTTTAATCATCTGACGCAGGGAGAGAGACACAGCGCTGATGATCAGAGGCTATGATCACTCCTCTTAAACAGTTTATTGACGCCTAAATTAACTTAAAATGCAGAAATCTGCTGGCATAATATGCAGTTTGGATTATTTAGATGAAAAACACCTACCAGCTGCCGCAGTGAACCGCAAGGAGGCGACCCGGCCAGAGGCTGCTGATGAAGGGATTCCTAGGCGCACCGCTGGTATGTGGGGGTCTGAGCGGCTGCGACAGAAAAAATATTGAAGGCAGGATAATAATCTGAATGAACTGACGGCACTGATTACGTTTTCAGGTGTATTTTCTCACTTAAACACATATTAAAACTACTTTATTCCCACTGATCACAGCAAATATAGCTGCAAGGCAGAGAAAGGATAGTGAAGCTCCGCCTAACGTGCGTCAGACACACTTTTGCACCGCGCAGCCAGAGCAGCAAAGCTGCTTCAGCCGCGCGTCAGAACTAACTGGTACAAGCAGCAAAAATGAAGCAGCAGACGCGATTTTGCTGCTTTTGCTGCGTGAACTTAGCATAACTGCACAAAGATCGCCACTGTGCTAGCAACGAGAATGCTTTTAACTGGGGGCGTGTAGCAGTTCTCGCCGTAAAGCAAGACTGACTCTCGCGAGACTTCTGAGCCTGTGGGTGCGGGTCGGTGCTCCTGTAATTGCAAGAGCGGTATTTCCCCCACAGACCACCAGGGCGGCCGAGAATACCTTTGTTCAACCTTAAATTACTCATTTAATCATCCAAAACGTTATGGAACACATTAATTAACTGAAAAATGTTGCATAGTGTGCCTTTAAGCTGTATGAATGCAGTTCACACAGGAGATCACATACAAGTCCCATATATTTGCAAATGTGAACAGCAATGCAAAAAATCGGATTTCACAAAAAAATCGTAATTGAGCATTAAGGCCTGCAGTGTGAATGTAGCCTTAGAAACACCACAAAACTCTCACACCAAAAGCTCAAGAATAATCTGGCACTGGCAACGGCAATGAGCAGTAATGACAAAACAGGCAGAGTTAGAAAGGTGAATGAAATGAGCAATTAAGCCAGTCATCAGTGCCAAGATCATGACACGCTCTTAATAAATTCCTTTCATTTTGTTCCCAAAGAAAAACAGAAATTTCTATTGATGACTTTACTTTCGGTTGGAATAATAGATTGGTACATTGACCTTTCTATTGAGTCAATATGACAAAAGTGACACCAAATTCCTCCCAATCAGATGCAATATGATCCATTTTATTGAGTTGCATATAAATTTGTGCAAGTTCTAACTTTGCATCTTTTTTAGAGACAAATCTCAGATTCCTGTCTTTGTCTGCAATTTCAGACAAATGCTACTTCATATGAACTTTGCTCCCTAACAATAAGCACATCACTTTCCCAAGTGGAAGCTTAATTTTCCACTTCAGTGTACAGTACATGAAATCAAGCCAGCATGGATTATTGCTGCCGGATATTAATAAACTCCACTAGACCAAATCTTTAGGCTTGAAAAGGTACTGGAGCTGGCAAAATGAAGATTATGTTTTCTTTATTTACCATTAATAGAGACAAAAACAGAAATAGTACTAACTTAAATCATTTAAAAGGGTGTCATTAAATATTCAATATGGTGATACAGCTTTATACATCGATTTTACTTTAGGTTTTTATAGATTAAAATAATAAGAAATTAAAAGAAGCTATTTTTGTGCTTAATGTCTATAAGACAATCTGTTCTGAGTTCCCAAGGAGCCATTTTCATACCTGTGTGGAGGAGAAATCTCAACTTCAGAAGCATGCATTCAATTTTTACAGTTCATAAGAAGGGTCTGCTCTTATCTGCGAGATAAGAAACAGCCAGAGTCTTGGTGGGAGTATCAAAAATGAAGGCCAAAGCTCTGTTGGTGAAGCTCCCCTTTAAAGTGAAATTATATAAATGGATCAAAAGACATTCACACTTTGAAAATGTCATGTATAGCTGATTATGCATGACATCAATCCCTGCTCATTTATTATGTGCCTTTTATTTTACTAATTTTTGATTGAAAGTTTTCTGTGTAAAGTGTAAAATGAAAAAGAAAGAAACGGATAGTGGTTGAAAATGAAGGATTTCAAGGATGAGAACAAAACAAGTAGTAAAGAAAAAAATGCAATCATAAAATGTTTTGTTCTTATAAAAAATTTTTGGTGTGACTTAAGCTTTTAAATTAGGTTGAAATCAAGAGTGCTTAAACTACATTTTTAAGGCTAAGTTACTTATTGGGTTAACATTTAGAAATGCGGTTTTATTTAAAAATGAGTTGTGCAAGTAAAGCAAATTTGGAATATTTAAACCTTAAAATATAGATATAAGACAAATCATTTCTTTTGCATTCTGTTGGCATGAAACTGGGAAGTGTTGCAAGATTTTTCCCATTAGCTATGACCTTTTGATATTAATAGTAATAATCCCACATAATTTGAAAAAGATCAAACAGAAAAAAATCAAAATAAAGGTCAATATAAAGCATAAATAAGTGATATTTAATAAGCAAATTGCTAAAAACAATCATTTACTTTAAAAAAAACCAAAACGTTTTTTTAGCAGATTGCAGAATTGATTCTCTACAAAGATGTTCCTATATGCAACGCTGGTGCAAAGTTTGTGAATAATGCTTTTAAAAGAAATATGAAATATTGATCTTTGATGGTTCAAAAGATAAAATTTGGCTCAGTTCTTTGAAAATCATGTGAAAAGAAGAAAAAGAGAGGGAAAGTGCAAATGCTATACTTATACCAGCTCCCTTCCATGAAATAGAGAGCATAGATTAGGTGTAATTTGACATGAGTGGAGTAACTGCTCCATGGTAGCTGCACTGTATGTATATCAACCACTGGGCTGAGATGTGCTTATGCTCCTCTTGTAACAGTAAAGATGGCACAAAAAGCAAGGTAAAAGCAAATTAAGCTTAATTGCATAAAATATTAAAATAAATCAAGATTTTTAGTCATCTAATCCAAACGGATTTGGGATTAAAACTAGATGAGATCTTTTAAATCTTCCAGTTGGTATTTTGCCAATCAAACATCTCCTTAATGGAAAAACTAAAAATCTCTGCCTCAAGGCTCTTAAGGATTTATATTTTCCAATCTTTGAATAGTGATTTTTTTTTAAATGGCTGACATTTGGGCAAATCTATAGTCCAGTAAAAGGCTGGCTGGCGTTTTCTGCCAGGTTTCTATCCCAGAGTTCTCAAAATCATCGAAAGATCTTTTATAACAACCTCAAGTGCAATTAAAGCAAACAAACCAACTAGCCATTAGTGTGATTCAGTAGATTCCCACTCATTTGCCCCTTCAGACGCACGTACAATAAAAAGCTGCAACTTACTGAAAGAGGACAAAAAAAAAGATGTCATTATATACAGTTAAACAAACAGAGATAGCGTTGGTTGTATTGAAGACTGAACACAAAAGGCTTTTATGCACCAAACTAATTTTAGGTCTACTTTGACATCCACCTGATGTGCTAACAATCAGGTTTAATCTACAAGAGAGAAGAGAGATCCAGTGTCCTACAAAACATATCTTATAGGGGATTTCATCTAAAACCACAGAGTTGCGTGCAGTTGTGAAAGAGGTAGGAAAATAGTTTTTTTTTTCTTCTACTCAAGCAAAAAAATTAGATGTGCACAATTATTCACCCCCTTTAATCCGAGCAAAGCCAACCATGGTGGTGGTGCTATTATGGTGTGGGGATGTTTATCCCAGCAGGGATACATGAAGCTTCTCACAATTTGTTGATCAATATAATTTAAAGAGATCCTTAATAAAACATTAGGATTGGGATGGAGGGTTACTTTCCAGGAGGGCTACACTGAACTTAAAGGTTTTTTTTTTTTATTGCACTTGTGAGAGCCTGAACGGGCTCATTTCTAGTTTAAAACTTGCTTTTCTCATAGCCAATACATGCTTACTGTGCCTGAAGTTCCACCCTAATCCCTAAATTCTTCAATTACTGTCTAGAGCAGAGGTCTTCAACAGGGGGTCCACGACCCCTAGAGGGTCCTGCATGGGGGTCGCGAAAATTTTGCTTGATTAGATCATTTTTATATTCCCACCTGCAATTTTTTCCACTATTTGAAATGTCTTTAAATCCACATTAACATGAATTCAACACACTGTAGTAAACAGATAATTGGAGGCAGAAGATGTCTTTCAATCATCAATGCACACATTTAGCGACACACAGGGGCTCTTTCAAGCTGGGCACCGTTTCATTCACAACACCTGTCCCATCAACCAGGAATCAGAATCAGAAATACTTTAATAATCTAAAGGAGGAATTACTTTCGTTACATTACTCCATCTGTAATAGAGTGACTATAGGACCAGTTTGATATAACACAATCTCATACAATATGTATAATTAGGGGGTCCCCGCTCCATCTTGCCAACAGTTTGGGGGTCCTTTGCCTAGAAAATGTTGAAGACCCCTGATCTAGAGCAAGGGCATGTAACACTGCACGGTGGCTACATCATCTTTGTTATTAGTCTTCTGAGGCCTTTTCTTCTGCTCATACACTTTTTCTCTTTTGACCCTCTGCCATTTTCAAAGAACAGCGGTGAGAAAGGTGGGCCTCAATGATTGGCTGAAACCGCAGCTCACCACATATATACGTACGCCTAAAGGCTGATTTATACTTCGAAACCAGGTCCTCTGTGGTGTCCCCCGATCCCACCGCCCCCACTTCCTCACCGCCTCGGCTGTATCTAGACCCACAGCGTATAGCACAGACCACGCTTCAATATTGAGCATAAATCAAAACTGTCTGCGTCAAGCTCACTGCGACACACTGCTGCAGTAGTATAACCAGCCCTTAGACGGCCTTACCTACACATACTTATGTATCATCAGAATGATTGACAATTAGGAGGACCACTTATTTAGATGATCCACCCGGAAATAAAAGATCAACCTCTACACCTTTAAATCTGGAGCAGTGTTTGGGTTTTTCTGTTTAGAGATTATTCATGTATTAAAATGTCTTAGTAAAAGTTCTTAAAACAGATTGTATAAAGTCTATTTTCTGCACAGAATACTGGGATTACATTTCAGTCTTTTGATGATCACAATCATGCAGTACTTTCACACAATCCTAGTAGAGTTTGTAGAAGTGCAAAGCACACATTAACTATATTATTTCCTGCATGCATTAATATTTTTTATTAATTTCAAGTCAATTGTGATCATTAAATCGGTCCTAACGTTAACATTACTCATCCTCCAGCCCCCTCCTTCCCTGTTTCAAAGTCACCACTCACACCTGCGACGCGTTTCAGTGGCGCGCACAAGAATGCTGCTCCCAAAAGGCAAAATAACCAATTTAAAAGATTATTGACCACAAATAAATCAGAAAGAGAAACATTTCCATCCAAATGGATTCAACAAGCGGTAGCAGCGCGGCGTCAGGGGAAGACGAAACCGTCCGCTTTGCGCTTCTCAGAGCCGGAGTCCTGGGGTTAATCTTTGTGCTTGCAACATGTGGAAACCTTTTCTTCTTAGTCACCCTTTGGAAAAGGAGGAAGAGGAATTCTCGGACCCAGCTCTTCCTCCTGCATCTGTGCTTTGCGGATCTGGTGGTGGCATTTTTCCAAGTCCTGCCGCAGTTCTCCATAGAAATTACGCACAGGTTTCGCGGGACGGACTTCCTCTGCCGCCTCGTAAAATACCTTCAGGTGGTCGGGATGTTCGCCTCTGCCTATATGATAGTGGCCATGGCTATAGACCGCTACCATGCAGTTTGTATGCCTATGGTTTCCTTTCTAGAGGGCTCTTTCAGAAGGTACGTCTCCATTGGCGCAGCGTGGCTCATCTCCCTGGTCTTCAGCTCTCCGCAGCTCTTCATCTTCTCCCTCCAGGAGGTGGAAGTCAATCTCTATGACTGCTGGGCGACATTCGTTGAACCCTGGGGGAGCAAGATCTACATCAGCTGGATCACCCTTGCAGTGTTTGCTGTCCCTGCAGTTATTCTGCTCTACTGCCAGATGAGAATATGCACAACTATCTACTTCAACATGAAGAGGAAGGCTCTGCAGTCAGGACGCACAGGCACCAAGGGGGTCTCCAATGCTATGCTCAAAACAGTGAAGATGACTTTTGTGATTATAATGGCATATACAGTCTGCTGGAGTCCTTTCTTTGTTGTGCAGTTGTGGTCTGCATGGAGCCCAAGCAGTGCCCCTACACAAGGTTGGTTTCCATTTTTTTCTACCAGTGCAGGGTTCATTGGGATGTAAAACCCTGGCCTGGAACCAAGACTTTTAATAAATGATGGAATTATTTCTTATTTCTCTTAAAGGTGCATTTTAAACACACATTTTTTTAGGAATTGATTATCTTTATGACAAAAAAATGCTCTAAACCTCCCCTGCAGCTTGTCTAAAATATGGTTAACTTCTTCCTCCTATAGCAGCTTTAAAAAAAAAAACAGTGGTATCTTTGTTAGTCTGGGCAGGTACCAAGTGTTGCTGGGACATGACATCAGCATCTCTATAAAAAATATTCAGTAGCTAATTAAAGAGACAATTGGAAGGTTTTACAAAAAATGTTTAAAATAGCCTTTTTATTTGACCCTTTACGACTAAAACATTGTTTGATGAGCAGACTGACGCCTCTATATTTAATGGCCGATACATCTATGAGCCTATTTTTCCTTTAATGTACTTTGGGCGCTGTTCTGCGGATGTGATGTCAAGCATCTCTATGTTAATTGATATATATTCAAGATGGATTTTGTGAATATTGAGAAGCGACTGGCATCCAGCTCAACTCCATATCAGTGGCGGAGCTAGATGGGGGGCCAGGGGTGGCCATGGCCACCCTTAGCCAATCATTGTCCACCCCTACCATTTTTTCCCCCCTCTAATACAGATGGAGGCAACAGTCAGAACTACATTTTAAGTTATATGGGGTAATGACAAAAAGATGTTCTCTACAAGTCATATAGGAGTATTCAGTGAAATCATAGATAACTATTTTGATAACAACATTAAATAATCAATTTATGTAGATATTATTACTTGTAAATATACATTTTTGGCAGAATGATTATTGATAAAAGTAAGTAATGTCAATGGCAATAACCAATGTAAACTGGATAGGCGCCAGAACCTCAGGGTTAATCTACACCAGGGGTCTTCAACCTTTTCCAGACCAAGGACCCCTAAACTGATGGTGAGATGAAGCGGGGACCCCTTAATTGTATATATTTTATGAAATTGTGTTATATCAAACCGATCCTATTGTCACTGTATGACATATTGAGACATGTAACGAAAGTAATTTCGCCCTGGGATTATTAGATTATTAGAATATTTCTGATTCGGATGTGCATTGATAACTGAAAGACATCTTCTGCCTCAATTTATCTGTTCAATACAGTGTGTTGAATTCATGGTAATGTGTATTTAAAGACATATTATTTATTGGAAAAAAAATTGCACAGGGGGAATATAAAAAAAAAGTCTAATCAACAAAACTTTTGCGACCCCCATGCAGTACCTCCGTGGGCCCCCTAGGGGTCACGGACCCCCTGTTGAAGACCTCCGATCTACACTGTTGCAACATGAAAATTAACAAGCACAACTTCCATATTTTCTAAATAAAGACAAACTATATTTTCCTACAGCCTTTGCTATCAAATAGACCCATTTTATTTAAACATCTGTGCTTCTTAGATAAAAGGTATAGTGGATACAATTCTTTCAGGTTTGAGTTCTGGGGCGAACATCTCTTCCTTTGTCATTACTTACCTACTTTTATCAACAATTATTCTGCATAAAATTGATATTTACAAGTGCTAATATATACACAAATTGATTATTAAGTTTTTATTAAAATAGTTATTTATCTATGATTTCACCGAAGACTCCTAGATGACTTTCAGAGACACATATACATATTTTCTCTTTATCCCATATAACACAAAATATAGTTCTGAAAAGAGCAGGCATTATCAGCTTTAATGTTAGTATACTGATGTGCATAATCAACCACAATGTTTTGTTGTCAAGTAAATGTTAATATATGAAAAATTAAAATGTTTTGAATGTTCCACTTGAGAGTATTACTGCTGCCACCGTCTGAATTAGAGGCGGAAAAAATAGTAGGGATGGCCACAGATTAGCTAAGGGTGGCCAGGGGTGGCCATGGCCACCCTTAGCTAATCTGTGGCCATCCCTACTATTTGTGGCCACCCCTGCCCTGAGTTTCTGGTGCCTATCCACTTTCGGCCATCCCTCAGAGTACATTGGTTATTGCCTGGCTACCCTTATAAAAAATTTCCGGCTACGTTTCTGCTCCAGACACCAGTGGCAGTTCCACATAAGGTGAAAAAAGTTATTTAAAAAAAGCCTTTTCAAATACTGGCAAGTACAATGAGAACGAGCAGAAGAGTGCTGCAGTTCTATGTTTTGGCCACAGGTGGCAGTATCATTTGAAAATGTCACAAAGCTTCTTTAGTAAAATAATATGTGGCAGATCTGGACACATACTCTTCCAGCTGAAGATCCAGTTTACATATAGCTCATATGCCTCTTTCTACCAGGTTTTCCTTCCACCTAACTTTCCATAAGCATAAGCAGGTTCTTGGACTAATGACATTTTGTTAGTCAGCAGTTTTCCCCATGATTAGGGGAACCAAAACATAATATATTTTTTTATTGGTCATCTTCTATATACATTTTCCAAGGGGGTACTTTTTTGAAATCCAGCTAAATTTACAGATATGCTCGGAGAAATAAACAAAAAAAACACTAAAACTGATGAATCTATGCCTTCATTTTCATGGAATACCTATAGTGAATAATTTTTTAAAGGATATTCTTGTTAAATAAGCTTTGCCTAAATGGGTGCTCTATCTAGCTTGTGCATAAAAGACCCTGCTCATTTGGGGGATGTGATATCCATGTTTCATCACATATTTTTTTTCTTTGTGTTTTCTGTCTTGCAGGTCCAATATTTTCAATTATCATGCTGCTCGCCAGTCTCAACAGCTGCACCAACCCTTGGATATATCTGTACTACAGCTGAAAAAACAGGCCTTAAATGAAAGGAGTCAGAAGAAGAGAAATAATTAACAAGGTCTCTGAAAAAATTCCCACCTGTGACAATCGGGGAGAAAACTTTCCATGTTCAGCTGCACGGAGAAGACTTTGAAGAAGAAAGGCACGTTTGTTGTGTTCTCCTTTTGTATAAAAATAAGCTCACGCAGCTTTTCTATGAAACAAAAAGGCATGGATTTAACAAGCAGCGGGAAACGAGCAAAGAAACAACACAAATATATTCCGACATGCTTCATATTTTCAGGAGGAGATGCAATGACTGTGAAGTAGCAAAACTGCTTCCTGTTTGATAAAGATGAAAAAGAAAATGAACTACGAGAGACATTGATTATGATTCCTATCAGCAAGTGCAGATAAACAGGACGCATGGAGGCTAGGAATAGAAACGGACACAATTAGATTGACACATGTAAATGATGAAAAATATAAAATATCAGATTAAGTAATTTTGCTAATGCCATTTTATTTTAACATTTATAAACGTTTTGTCCCCCCCTGCCCCAAGATCATAGAGAGTAGGAATCATTTTTTATTTTCTGCTTCTTTTACTATTGTCTTTAAAAACAAAGAGCCTTTCTTTCCAGAAACATATCAACCTATTTGCATATAAAGACCCATGGGGAACATTGCACATTATTCTTAAATTGGGTAAAATCTGAAAACTTCATCCAACAATTTTTACTCCTGAAGATCTGATTCTTCACCATACATACATTCATCAAAGTTGTTTACTTTGTAAAATCCTTCTAAAGCACAGAGAACAAAAATATTGTCTATAAAATATTGCCTATATAACTATATTAACTTCTATACAATTTCATATCCAAATATTTAAAGAAGATTTTACAATATGTAACAAACAGGATGTCATACCTGCTAAATAAAACATTGGAGAAGTCTGGGCATATTTTATAATAATAATATTTTAATTTATACTGCACTTTCCATCAAAACATCTCAAAATGCTACAGGTAAGAACAGAAAAAAACCCAAAAACATATTTTTTGTCTTTAGATCTTTCTCTTTTCTTCAGGAGAAAACAAAAGCTCTACCCAGTAACTAAAAGACACTCCCAGCATTAAATACAACCACAAATAGCACTAGCAATGCAGTTATTGTCACCAACAAGGGTTTTACAATAATGCATAAGTTTTCAATGTAGCTTGTGAAGGATCAAACTTAAATAAGGACAAAAGGTGTTTGAAAATAAAAAAAAAACAAACAAACTTATATTTAATAGTGTCAAAAATTGTTAACAAAGGCTCACAAGCAATAAAAAATAGCTTAAATAAATAAGATGGATCTGGTCCCAACTCAACTGAGGTCAACTGAAGACGAATCAACTCAAACAAAAACCCAACCTTCTGATAAAGCACATAGGCCACTTAAATAGGGGTGGAATAACCTAAACGTTCCACATGAGGGAGGCACAATATAACAGAGAAGCAATAAAAAAAAAAGTCCATGCAAACTAAAACATAAATAAAACAACTCTAACTTAACACAATTAATTAACTAAGGTGACAAAATAACTAAAGTAAACTAAAACAAAATTCCCCCCTCAGTTCTTGGGGAAGTGGTTTGTTCCTGGATTCTTCCATCTTCAACTGATCTGTATTTGCAGAACTATGAAATTAAATAAACTTTGCGATGGAGGTAGAAGGATCCACCACATAGCTTTAGAGCTTTCTTTTAACTGCTTCCCTAATGTTTCTGAAAAACACCTCCAAGAACCTTAAATATTCAATACATAACAACTTTCTATGGATTTAATCAAGGCAATGAATCGATCTGGTGAAGTTGGGCTGCATTATAACTATGTTTTTTTTGTTACGTATCTATCCCACAATATAATGAAACTTCCACCATGCCTCAATGTATAAAGGGTTATCACATGAAATTTAAATAAGCCATTTGGTTTACTTCTTATCAGTCAATGGATTCTCTTTATAACCTGCTTTTTAATTATAGCACCCATGACTATTGTCCATGGTATCTTGGCTTAATGGTTAGATATAAGAACTCGTCTTATTCCAACAGAAACTCTCAGCAGGCTTCTGGTTTTCTTGGGAATTTTATTTATAAATGATGTCTTTCCATTCCAGCATAGTGTTTTTATTTGCCTCACCTATTTTACACACGTTGCCGATATGTCAGATGATAATCTATCAGGTGTGGACAGAGAAGAGAAACGTCTGATACAAAATGTATTCTTATTTTCATGTCAGGTAAAAAAAAACAAGAAGATAAAAAGTTAGTGTAACCAAAGAGCCTGTGGCATTTTGTTTTATTTCTGCTTTAAATAAGATTAGCCCTCTCATGCAGCCAAAATACAACGGTGACTAACTCCGAGCCCAAGGGTGGAGCAGGGGGAGATAAATCCTGCAGCAGGTTTGTGTTCACGTAATTGCATCGCTTAAAACCATCACTGCAGATTTAATAGGAGAAAGAAGCTTTCTAAGATGCATGGGTTAAAAGGAATACAGCAGCAATTTATTTCTTAAAAGCCTGAATATGAAAGCAGAGTCAAGACTAGAAATAATGCAGCAAAGGTCAGTGAGGTTTCTAAGAAAGTATTCCCACCATACTTTCATTTAGCTTTTCATTACGTTTTTTTTTTCAGATGATGCATTTTTTTTAACCTATTTGCATGTTTGAGGTAGAGTTTTATATGAAGGATGCATAAAATGTTATCTTATGATTCATCCTGAAAGACATCATTAGAGCAGATGTGGCTACAAAGTAATACTGAGTCAATTGAGGACTTTTAATGCAACAGATGATTTCTTCACAAAGTTTTTCTCAAGACCTCGGCTTGACCTCAGCAATCCGCTTAGCCGTATCTCCTAACCTAATCGAATTGCAAACCGGCAGAAGCGGCTCCCTGGAAATGACTCGCTATCTTACAGCCTTGTCATGCTTTGCCGGCATCAATTATTCAAATTTCCAAAGTGTTTAGGCAGAAGCTCGGAGCAAGTCACTGCTGATTGGAGGGATGCAATGTGACATGTTAGTGTATTTATAACACATTTACATCTTGGTCATAGACCTTGCTAAAAAAAAAGAATGCTCTGGATTTAGTCAGGACAAAATAACAAAAAACAGACGTTTTTTGGTACAATGCTGCACAATTATAGAGCATAGATGAGATCCTGAACAAACTAAGGTTGGACCTGATAGTATGAGATGGGCAATCATGACGTCCCAAAGGTGTCCTATTGGATTTAGATTACTTAATTGAGGGAGCTCAATGGTAGCGGTTCTCTTATAATCCAGGAATCTCCTGCATGCTACACATGATACAGGGCATCATCATGCCCTGGAGAGAAACCTAATGGCATCTACTGTAGGGTCAGAGGTGGGTAAAGAACCCAAAACGTTTAAAGCAGCACTACTTCATTATGTCTTTACTCAACTAAAAATTAAAAGTAGCCGTTAAAATAGTAAGAGGCTAAAAGCCTACTCAACTGCTAACTGATCTACTTCTACCCATGATCATAAAAACTGATTTAATTTTTTTTACAAAATATTGTAAAATTGAACAAAATATTAAATAATGCGCATATTCGGGTGTTTCAAACAAAAATAAAAAGATATAAACATAAAATACAGTTACTATACAATAAAACGCAACTAATGATTATTTTGCAAATCGATTAATATGAATATTTTTTCAATGAATCGATTAATAATCAGATAGCCAAAGATTCTTTAAAGAAGACTTTTTGTGAAGTTAAACCAAGTGAAAATAAAGCTTTTCCACTTAAGGAATGCTGGATAGAACATATTGACAAATTAAAAAGATTTATATCTTAAATCCAAAATGTTTACACATTTTTATTTTTTAAATTTTGGTATATTACGGCTCTAAGGGGGTCGCTTTGTTAGTTAAAGGCACATTTTAGAGTCTCTACACTCCAGTTTATGATTATTCGATTACTAAATTAGTTGACGATTATTTCAATAATCGATTAATCACGATTATTCCAATTAATTGTTTCAGCCCAAGTGCAATGAACACTCTTCCAAAAAAAAATTTTGTGTTGTAAAACTTACAAAAGGAATAGTTTAAGTGTGTGAGAAAAGGTTCAATTACAGTAAACATTTAACCAATGTAACCAAAAGTTTGGGATCCGTTGGTCAAGTGGAAGAAATCAATCCAGGCATCTTTAAAAAGCCTAGATCCAGGCCCTTTCTGAGTCAGCTCAGCTGTCAAACTGTAAGTGCTCTTACATTTTTCAAGAAAGGTATTCCTAAAATGTCCAATTCAATACATAAAATGGTAGACGAAGAAAAAGATCAGATTATCGTCACTATGATCATCAGGTTGAGGTAAAACTGAAATTTAAAAGTGCAGTTTCTATTTTTTTGTGCCTAATTTATATATGTATATATATATATATATATTTGTTTCATTTATTACAAATGATATTTGACCAGAAAAGAATAAAACAAACATAGAAGCAAACATGTTTTAATACTCTTCATTTCCTCTTAATAAATTCTCAAACAGCCCTTAAAAGTTGTGAAATTAATACTTTCCCTGACATCACATATAAAGCTTGACAAAAACACACACAAAGCCTTTGGAGAAGAACATAATCAAAAAACTAAAATAAATGAACTTATCAATGACATCCTGAAATTCACCAGTAAGTATTCAATGAGGATAGTTTGGTATAAATAACATCATCCTGTTGACTGGAAATTTAGGACCTTTTTTGGTTTTAATTTTCCTGATGGATATACAAAAATTAACATAAAAGATCAAATCCCCACCCTTCCCTTACCCTCACAAAACAGCACATCATAGAACACTTTCACAATCAAGACAACATGATGAAAATTTAGGACCTTTTATGTAAAAATAAAAAAGTGCTGCTCATATTACAAAAAAAATATACATGCAATTGTAAAGGAGTGAAAAGGGAAACAGTGCCACCATGTGGACATGATTAGACCTGCAGTAATGGGTTACTTAAGCAGTTTTGCAGAAAAAGACAATTCACTAAGATGTAACAAAACACTGGATTAGAGTAAAATAGATGATATGTAATCTTCTAAAATCTTTTGCTTCTCTCTAAAAACAGCCTCATCCCTCTTCAGGAGCACAATCTCATTCTCCAAACAGTGAATTTTAGCCACAGTGCTCTCCTCTCTGCGACCCAGTTCCAAAATCTTTGCGTGCAGACTCAAGATCTTAGTCAACTGCTCATCTTTGTCAGTGTCTGGTCTGCAGTACGAGTGCTCATGGACCAAAGTGTGCTCTCCATCACTTAGCCTTGTCTCTTCCAAAATGCTCCCTGGATGTTTGTCTTTAATCGATTCTAGATTCTGCTGTGATTGAAAGGAAATGCCACCTATATGCTTCTTGTTGGTGGAGGAAGGGCCAAGTGTTTCACATCCAAACAACTCCACGATGGAGTCAGTTTGCTCTTCAGAAGATATCGATGATGTGAGGCAGGATGCTGCTGAAACTCCACTGTCCAATGTTACCTGACAAACAGTAGTGCATGTCTCAAGGAGACTTGACGGACAAGAGATCGCAGACTCTGGTAAAAGAGGGACTTTGAGTAGTGTTGGCGACTGTTTTGTAACAGTATTGTCATTTAAGTCTGGCTGTGTTTCTGGGTACGTTTTCCTTAAAACAAGGGCAATCTTAGTGGGGACAGACTCTGAGTCCTTAGTCTCTGAAGGAAGTCCGTCTTTTGGACTCTGAAGGGAAACTTTGTTTTCACAATCCTTGGATGAAAGAGAATACCGCAGTTAAATCAGGTCACCA